GTGTGCATTGGTCTTTTCAGTGCTGCAGTATTTTGCAAAAAGCAAAAAAGCATTATTCATGGCTTCCTATTTCAAAATTTCATAGTGTTTTCACAACCATTTTAAATGAGGTAGTTGTGTTATTGGTTTTGTCTTAAGGGAGCAACATTGAAACGCGTGTTGTTTAAGAAAACAGCAAAAAGAAAAAAAAACGTTATATTTCAAAGTCTGACTGAGCAGCTTGCTATCGATTCGCTCTCTTTCTGTCCTCATCCTCCTACGTTACACCGTCCTTTAAAATGACCTGAGGTCGACTATCTTGTTTAGCACCTGACTGAGTTACCCCAGCAACCACACGTCACCAGGACAACCACGATCACTGCTTTGCATATATGTGATGTACAGAAAGCACCCCCCACGGCTATTTTCTGACAGGCTTGTTGTTTTTTGGACCTGGCACACTAAGTGACAAGTGTTGTTTTGTTTTTGCTGTATATTAGCCTCCCTGCTAACCCTACATCAACAGAAATCGCTCCATGGGAAAGTAAGAACACCATGGGAAGGGTAGTTGTCCGTCTTCGCAAAATAAATCCATACGCATACACATGGAGCAAGACCTGCTAAATATCAGGCAGTGTGACTACTGACTAGAGAACATTTCCAATCAAAAATGGTTGCATTGAGTGAGGAGTGTGTTTAAATCTCCTGCCTCTGAGGGCTTGATCTTACATCCACAGACAGAATGGAAGTGCAGTGTTATGTTGATAGAGGAGAAGACAGTTATTTCATCTGTTAAAGTAATAGTGGAGCTGCGGATATATATATATATAAGTCCAGGAGCCATCTTTGATTTTCCCATCAAGTAACTTGTAATGACTAAAGCCGTTCAATGGCACCTTCTCAGCTGAAAGTACGCCACCGCATCACCCAGCCTGCAATTCCAATGCAACCTCCAACAACCCCACCTCCCACCCGCCCCAACCCATTCATTCCACTCAGAATGCCTCTCACCAGCCAAGCTCATCTCCAACAGGTCGAAGGAAGATTGATTTGTTTGTGTACAGAGGGAAAAGAGAGTGCGAGGGAACAAGACGGAGCAAAAGAAAAGGAAAAGACTGAGGTGGGAGTAGGAGACGACTGATACCGAGGTGTGTGTTTGTGAACTGAATGTGTGTTTGCCAAAGATTCACATCACCGGTCAGACAAGCAGATAGACAACCACTCAACTCCTTTGTGTGTGCGTGTAAGAGAGAGAGAGAGCCGTGAGGGATGGAGCCCACAAACAATTTTTGGGCATTCACTCACCTGTCTATTCTTTCTGCCTGTCTTATTCAGTGTGTTCAAATATTTGACCAAAATAGAAGCTGTGGAGGGACCATGTTTATTTCAGCTGTTGATAGAATGGGGTGAATCGTAACGTGTGTGGCAACTAAATGTTTCCAGGTAATCCTGATGTCTTAATATTGTTTTAATAATTCTTGTATCTGTTCTCTCTGGGGTGCAAGATGTGAGAATGTACATAGACAACAACTGCTGTGTGATGATCTATTATACCTTCACAATGTGGGCTGAGGCTTTTTGGTAAACATCTGAGTCAGCTTTTGGAGACTGCGTTCCATTCTTGTCAGCTCACCATCTTTCATGTAAATGTGAGGACAAAATGTTTTGGTGATGCAACTTATTTTCATTTAGACAAATACACAAATTCACATCTGTGCGTCATCAAAAAGGTTCAAGATGTCCATCAGACACTATTTTGGATAAACGAGTTAGTTTCCAACATCTTTACATTCGTGAAATTGGATTTATTTCTATGTAATAATTAGCGTCTGTCAATGAGTTTTCTTCTGCATCTGTTTATAAGCAGAAAGACATCTGGTTTAGGGGACTGATATTTGTAAGTTTGTGCAATTTGATGCTGATCCAAATAAAAATTCTTAAAAAAAAATGGCCAGGAATGCTACGGGTGAAAAAGAACCAAAGCACTAAGCCAAACTACCAAATTAAACTTGCGTCCCATCGTTCTGAATCACATTACAATGTGTGAATTTTTTGGCTTCGAACCATTAGTGGCTTCTTATGTGTCTGTGACGAACTGGATGGTTGGCGATGCATCGAGACGTGCATCACATCCTCCTCCGTGAAGTACAGATGCACTTCCTTATTGTAAAGGTTTAATTTCATGCCTGAAAGCAGCACAGCCAATCCTGTCTTCCTGCATGCCTGTAAAATATCAACACCCAATTATTCTGTCTGCTTTCATTTGGGTTTTGAATCAACTCTCAGAGGCTGAATTGTGGCCAGTGATCCCTGGCTCCTGCTGTACACAGCCAGGTTCAAACACTCCACTCACGCCGACACAGTTCAGTGGTTTTGTCGAGCCCTAATTCAGCAGTGCTTCTTAAAGTGCCCTTCATGAGCAGACCAATATAGTTGCTCATTATTGACTCAGACATTATGCTGCTGTTTTATGACCTGTTTATTATTTATCATATAATATAAAACTTAGTGTAAGCAGGTGTAATTTGTTTTTTTAAAGGAGTCGCATGAATCTTTCTCAGTGTATGAAAAAGTCTGCAAAGTTAAATAACTCCAACATAGCGGGTCATAATGAAAAGATCCAAGTTACGTTATTTCCCCTTTGCTCTGGTTCCATTCCGATTATGTGACAGCTGTAAGTGTTGCGTTGCCTTGAGTCATGCGTTGCTCCACGCCAGAGAGGAAAGCAAAGTCTGGGTCATCACTTTGTCATGACCCTGCTCTCTGACCAGGTAGGTGGGACTAAACGCTCCCCTGAAGGCATAAAAAAAACATTTTTTTTTTATCATTGTTGCTCAGCGCGGTCTCTCCTGACATTGACGGGGCTTTGAACCCTGCAGGGAGCAGCTAACCTGCCACTGACGAATTAGGCATACGTGGTTGCCAGTTCAGAGGCCGCTGCGGCTGGGTAATATGTTAAACTCTACACCGTTCTCCATCTAGTTCTCATTATTTGCTAACTTAATCCTTTCCTCGACCAACTGCAGCCTCCTGCCCCTGAGCTCAGGTCTTTGAAGCCTGCTGTGCTGAAGTTGGAAGCAGCTCTGGAGCAGTGTGCACTTGTTTGATTAGTAGTAGAGGCACTTTAGCTGAAAGAATTTGTAACTCTGCAAGAGATAATTTTTTTCTCGGTCCGCACTGACCTCATGTCTCGTAGTTTCAACATCTTTTAGTACATCATGATTTCAACATCCTGTGCTTCGTTGTACCCCAAAGAACTCTGTTGGGATCTCATGGATTGATGCTCTTTACCCCACAATCTGACACAACATTCAGCATGCTGCAATTTAAAGTTACCCCGAGGTGGTTTTGACTGGTTATAGACTTTTCTGAAAGAGTGGGTCTCCATTCTGTCCCTCTGTTATTTGGTGGTCAGGCTCTCACTGCAGTCCTGTCTCTCTGTTTTGTAGCCGACAGGTATGTAACCTCTGTGAAGTCTTCTTCTGCTGTACCTTTCCCTCAAGGTTTGATAAAAATCTATGATTCCTTTTTGCACATCACCGTATTAACTGAGCTGTCATTTGCATAGCTGCTGCTTCCTTCAATCTTTTGCCATTGGCGCTCTCAGAAGAGAAAGCCAATGCCAGACATCATTGGCGTTTTGCCAATGGCGAAGCATCGGGTACATTCCCATCGATATATTTTAGAGGAGCACCTGACAGAAAACTGTAAACTTCCTCCCTGTGCAGTAAATGATCTGTTATCGTGCACCTTGCTGCATAAATCTGCATATTAACGGGTCGAAATGCCACGACACTCAGGGCTGCAGTAATGTCAGAACGAAACATGACACATGCATTATCTATGCTGTCTGCACTTCCTGCAAGATGATCCGATTATGTTTTTGAATAGCTTGCGCCACATTTGCATATAAGAGTTTGTAATATGTTCAGGGTTACATTCGACCCTGGCTTTTAGTAGTTTTTCCTCATTCTAGTTGAGGACAGAGGATGTTGCACCTCGTACACATCGTTCATCCCTTTTGGGGCAAATTATGATTTGTGAATATGGGCTAGACAAGATGATTGATTGAGGGCTGAACAGAGTTTGATAGAAGATGGTCATTTTGTCTAAAGACCATACAGAAAGAAAATTGGGGCTGTATATAGGGGCAACAATTTAAAAGCTAAACTCATAAAACTTTGGCTCAGTGCGTGATGAGGTGAACTTCTAATAGCTTGTCAGTAAATTCGAGCTTTCGTCGTCGTCAAACTGGTTATAAAAGTGTTCCAGGAGGAGAAAATATACAAATTCCTTTTACGAGACACCATAAATAATTATAAAATGATTTCAGTGTGTGTATCACTACAGTATTGGATGATAACCCTGATCATTTACATCCCTTTTATAGTCACTTTTATCTCTACAGATGGGTAGATTAAATAAGTCTGATGAAAAAGAAAACAAGACAGATTCTCTCTTTAATTCATGCAGAGAAACTGATGGACACCCACTGACTGAAACACAGGAGCGTTTCTTCAGGGTTTTTAAGCGAAAGTTAAACATAGAAGACAGACGCTGATCCCGGGCTGGTCCGCTGCTCTGTCATTTCTGATGTAATCTTGCTCAGTGAGCTGGATCAAGAATGTGATTTATTCTTTGGGTGGGCGAGCAGAGCTCACAAACAGGCGAGCGTTTGCTGCATGTGGAGCACAGTTGGGTGGTGGAGTTGTTGAGAGCCCATAGGAGCTGCCACAGTTTTGTGTAAAGTAGGTTAATGCTGCTCACAGAGGCAGTGCACCCCAGTGCTGCACACGCTCTTTGGATCAGCCAACCACTTGAGGGGTTCGTGTACAGTAAAGAAAACATCCGAAACCAACAAGCGTCCTCAAGCTCTGTCAGGCGCCATCCCTCCAAATACAGTTACTTCTGAACTTAAGGTGGTGGTCGACCTGCCAAACCTAAGGCTTCAAAAACAGCAGGACACACAGGGTGACGTCACAGGTTTCATTGAACCTCTCTGTCTGTGTCTCTCTCATCAGAAACCGGCTCAGCCATCACCTCCACATGTATTGGTCTGGGGAACTCACTCACACCACCTGCAGGCCAGGCTGGAAAACCTGTTCCAGGTTACAATGGTAAGAATAACAAACCCCAGCTTTACACACTAAACAAAAACCTGCCTATAAACGTCCAGCATGTGAATTTCTAGTCATAATCTAAATGTATTTAAATCCCCAGTTAAAGATATATATACATAAATCTAAAATGACTGTGTAATTCCCTGCAGGGAACTTAATAAATTCGCTCTTCCAGTTTGCCTGTGTGTAATAACACCACCTCTGAATATGAACAGTGTGCTGTTTCCCTTCCCTGCAGTCACGGTGATCGATGATGACATGCAGGAGGTGAAGCCAAGAACCCTGGGAAATATAGTGGTGAGGTAAGCTGAGTGGATGTTTTACAGTCTAGCTGTTGCCTTCCCTCTGTCACTCGCACATTTAAAATGTGACACAGAAGCATTTTGCACATTAATTAAATTTAAACTCCTGTCTTTCAGTCATTAATCTTAATATTTCACTCTTGTATCACGCTCACGCATCATGCCTTGTTTTTTTTTTTTTTTTTGCTGATGTCAAAGGAGAAAATGTGTGAACCCGCCCTTTCTGCCGCCATATCTTCTCGCCTGCTTCCCTTCTGTTATCATTCCCCAACTCAATTTATCTGTTCTCCAGCTGCTGTTCTTGAGTCTGTGCCAACAAGAGGGATTTCTAGGGAATCCACATGTAGGGTGCATCCAGGGATAACGTCAAATAGAGCTGTAAACAGACGGACACAGCTGTCTAACTGTACGTCCTCCCAGTCGCCATTAAGTCTGTGCCACCCCCATTCTTTGATTCAAAGCTCTATCAAACGTTTCATGAAGTCATGTTCAGTATTTACAAAGAGCAAGGTAGCGTGGAGCGGAGGAAATATCGACTGTGTCACAGCGTCTAAGGTTCATCTGTTTTAAACTAAATGTTGATTTTGTCTAGTACTACTAAAATGATAAGCAGGCACGCTTTTTTTCTATTTGTAGTAAAATCAGTCTGTGCAGAGACGTGTCTACAGCTCACACTGGAAATGGAACGTCTCGGATAAGAGTCTGGTCGAGAAGAGGGCGGATTACTTGTCCCTGGATAAACAAAAACTGAGCGACTTTGCTCTCCTGTCTGCCGTGCGTGCGTGTGTGTGTCTCTCAAGTGGAGGCGGCACGTAGACCAATTGCAGTTTTGTGAAACAATGAAATATCAATTTTCACACAATGTTTTGGCTTCATCAAGTAAAATCTTGTATTTATAAATCCAGTTTGTCATTTTATGGATAGAAAACATTATTTACTTTCATGCGTTGCCATCTGTGAGAGGTATTAACATATCAGGAGTTAAAAGGGCAATATTGAATTAAAACATTTCATTTGTTGAATTAAATTTGTCCTTTAACCCTCAGACTCCCTCTACCACCTGGTGCTGCGTTGTCCCTCTGGCAGAACCAGACTCTGTTTAAGGAACTCTATTTCACCAAGTTCCCAGTAAGTTGGTTAATCACTTACTAACAATCCAGTGTTTATTACGTTAAATAACTTGCACAGTAGTGACTTCATTTGATTTATTACCAAGTAATAAAGAAATTGAAGCTTGATTTGTATCTAACAGTTGTTTTACAGGATGTAAACTGTACTAGAATGGGTGGTGGTGAAAGGTGGCCCTCTAGTGTTGAAATCCTCCATTGCAGAACTCCTGTCTTAGTGAGGATCTGTGAGAGATTTGAAAGAAGAAGCTGAATGTTTCAGATTCTAATTCTGTTTATACTGAAGAATGTAAATTTAGCATGAATCCAAGTGCAGACCTGCTACAGCTGCCACGTTATGAAACATCTTTCCTGCTTTTTCTCCATCAGGGTTATTACGACACTATGGATGCAGGTTTTGTGGATGACGAGGGATTCCTTTACATCATGTCCCGGTCTGATGACGTCATCAACGTGGCAGGTCACAGGCTGTCTGCCGGAGCGTTGGAGGAGGTAGGAGAGCGTTAGCAGAGGAGCTGACGTAAAGCTTTTCCCCACAATGCTTCTTCTACGTCTTGTCATGTATGTGTTTTTGTAGTCTGTGCTGCAGCACCCTGCGGTGGGAGACTGTGCTGTGGTTGGTCTAGAGGACGCTCTGAAGGGTCATGTTCCCTTGGCCCTGTGTGTGCTCAAGAAAGGTGAGGCTTGTCAAGTGTGTAGTGTAGCTTTAAAGATCTGTTTTGATTTTTTTATTTCAAAGCAACACTAAGTCTTATAACAACAGCGCCCTCTGCAGCCAACTGGGGTGAAGGAAACCTTCTCCATATTCACAGTGACTGAACCGTCAAACTCATCTTAATGAGGCTGATATTTTAAGCTTAAAAAGTTGCACAGCGTTGCTTTAGAGTAATCTCCCCACATGAAAGTTAATCTATAGCACAGGATTTGAAAATGACTATAATCATAATGTATAATATGACGTGTCTGTCTGTGTTAGGCATGCAGAAGAATGAGGAGGAGATTGTAAAACAGATGGTGAAGCTGGTGAGAGACAACATCGGACCCGTCGCTGCCTTCAGGAAAGTGCTCTTTGTCCAAAGTTTGCCGAAGACGCGCTCCGGAAAGATCCCTCGATCCTCTTTAGCCAATCTGGTCAACGGCAAACCCTTCAAGGTACGACACAGCTCTTTAAAAAAAGAATTGTGCCTTACAGTTCAGAGTAAAGCTCGTTTTGAGGTTATGCTAGCTTCATTTGCTTTTGTTTTCAAAGTAGCCTCATATCACTTTCTCGGTAGCATTAAAAAAAACCAGCTGTATTCTCTGCACAGATAACTCCGACCATCGAGGACGCAGAAGTTTTCAAGGACATCGTGGAGCAGGTGGAAAAATCCCTGAGACCTCATGCAGCCTGAATTCATTTAAAGGGACGACAGAGAAAACTGAGGTCAGATCAATCTGGTTTCACTGCGTCTGCAACGCAGCATGTTCACGTCACAGGGACACTAACGCAAACGTGAACTCAGGCTGACACATGCATTTTTTTCTTAATCAGTATCAATCGGTACCCTCTTTTCTGATTTGACCAATTCCATGATGCGGGGTTAATATTTGTGTTTGTAACAATGAACTACAACGTTTTATATGTAATCTGAATAATAATGTAAACTATGCTGTTTGCATATTCACAACAAATAGAAGCAGGTTGAAGCTGCTGTTTGGACAGTTTGATACTGAACATTTGTGATTATGAATGAAAAATAGTGGACGACTCCTTCACTGACAGTTTTTTTATTGACAATGAAAATTTGTTTGCTCACCACTTAGTTTTTGACCAAAGTACAAGAAGTAATAAATAAAAAAAACAAAACATGGAGACAAAATTAAATGGTTCGTCATTCGTGCAAATCGAACATGTAAAAATAACTTAAGAGCGTAAGACTTGTCTTTGTTGTCGTCCATCAGAAATAACTAAAAGACAGATAACAGGGCCGTACAATAGGTTGCCCTGGAAACTCCGACAGAAACAAAGAGTCAACGGTTACACCAATGTAAGTCACAGCAAGAAACAGGTTTTTCTCGTTTTAAAAGACACCTCACTTCAACATGGTCATATACACTCTACGCACACTATGAGCTGAAGCGGTCTGTCTTTCAGTTATTTCATCTGTTCTGTGAACGCACTGTCTGAGGGACGGGCGAGAAGGCCAGCTTGGCTGAGTGTTTGTGTATTTGTCCTTTTTGTGTTATTGTATCGCCTGACGAAACGTACAGTACAACAAGTGACAGGTTCTACAAATGACCTCCTGCTTTTTCTTTTGTTCTGAGAGGAAGTTTTTGTGCAACTTCGGAGAGCAACAGCATCTCTTTGTTTTGTCCTTGGCTACTAAAGAGTCCGTTGAGTTGATGCGGTTGTATCAAAGTGCTTGTTGTGTCGTTCCAGTGCTTCGACGCGTCCTCGTTAAAATGCTCGTGTGACGGCGAGTCCATAAGAAAGGTTGTTGAAGTTTGTTGGTGCCAGGAATGTAGTGTTTTTGTTCACCGCTAGAGGGCAGGTTTTCACACAACATCCAGTCTCTTCCTCTCAATGGTGCAGCACAGGTTCGTCATAATCATCATCAGCACAATGAAAAAATAAAACCATATGTACAAAATGATCTAGGAAGGGACGGGGGAGTATGGAGACAGTTTGAAGAGCAGCATATATTAATCTATGGTCCACTAAATGAGGTGGCAGGGACATTTTTTTCACAAACTCTGAATATCTTTTTATACATAGATGTGTGTATATATATTTAAAAAAATGGCGTATTTATATTAATTTACAGATAACCTACACATCTCCTGTAGAAGAAATACACAGTACGTTATGCTTTGACAAGTTACTGTACATGTAAAAGGTTAGAAATGGGGAGAACGAGGGGTGGGGTGGGGGGGGGGGTCAGCAGCCTGCGGGACAGTTTAGCACCGGCAGCTGGTGCCTACACCACGGGGGACGGAGCGGGCAGGGGGGCGGGGGGATCAGAGAGGAGAGCAGGGCTTCTTGGCAGTGCGTGTCGTCAGAATGGTTTGTTCCCCGGCGGGTTGGCCCGTCCAGCAGCTCCCCAAGTAAGACTCCATTTAGAACTGTACCTGGAGGGAAACACAAACACGTTTAATGAGAAAGTAAAGAAACGATAGGAAAGTCATTTAGATTGTGGTAGCTGCTGCTCGTTATTAGTTGTAGCATCAGGACCGATGACACAGTAACACAACTGCATGTTTTTGATTAAATTGCGTTTTCTCTATACAAGATGCCAAGTGGTGAGGGAGGCAGTCGAGGTAAGAAAGACCTTCTGGGCATGAGTGGTAGATGGGAGCCTTTCGGGCCTCAAGGAAGTTTTGCATCATCCATCAGATGAGGCAGAAAGAGAGAAAAACCGGTGGGTGAAGTCCTCCCTGAGTTGGTGAGGTGTTAGGTGTGAATGAGATGTGTTTGTGTGTGGACTGGAGGGACAATTCAGGGGGTATCACACTACTCAGTCTTCCTGGGAGAGCTTCAGCCGGGATGCTGGAAGAGAGGCTCCAACTAACAGGAGACCCCGGGACAGACCTCGGAACGCCCCAGGATCCCTAAGGAGGAGCTGGACATGTGAACCATCTCAATCAACAAAGTAATTGTGAGTAGATTCAGAATTCTTTTAGACGTTCTATCATTTGATTGTGTTCCGGTTCGGGACAGATATGTAAAGTACTGTAGAGACTGCAATTTGCTATTTTAGCATTTATAAGGCAAAACTGAAATGTTGCCATCTAGTTCTACGATACAGATGCAGAGTGACAGCACAGTCCAACAGCATCTGAGAACTAATTCTTTTTCCTGGCAGAACAAAAGGTGGTTCGGGAGTCTCACTTCTAGAGTCCTGACAATGCCTGTTTACAATAGTTCAAGGCTCCTTAAAACAGGCAACCATGTTAATGAACTTTGTCAACTAGCCTCTGTTAACGATGCACATTTATCTGAAGCAGATTTCTAAAGCTTGGAGTTACTCTTGACTCATCGCTAACCCGTCTGTCTTCCATCACCTTATCACAGCTGCCTGACACAAACACCTCAGGAACTCACTGATGATACAAACATGCTCTTTTCTCCTGAATCTGTGCAGTAGTTCAGAGGAAAGCTGTGTATTGGACAGAGTCTGTGTGATGTTACATACAGTGTACAGTTTAAGGTCCCTCTCCTCCTCCTCTCAGCAGGAATAGGTTCTCACCGTGGAGCTGTCCAGCCGCTGCACCGCAGAGGGTCCGACTGTAGGGGGAGACAGCGAGAAAAAGAGATCTTTTAGTTTCAGCGTTACGGCTTTTACGCATCAGATGGACTCAGGGAGAAGGAAACCTTCCTCCACCTTGTTACCACCTCAAACAAGAGGAGACATCCTCGACAGAATGAGTGAGATCTCACACAAACACACAAACACAAAACACTTCATCCACACAACAGAGATTATTCATGGAAACACCTTCAGAAGAGAAAACCAGGCATCACACTCAAAGGAGGTTTTAGTTTCTAGTGGACACCACCAGCAACACAGTTTTAGTTTAATTGTGGACATCACAGACCAGGGAGCACAGAGAATAAAGATGGGGGACACCTTGTTAGAGAAGAGCACTGGCCCAGTCAGAACTGCTGGATGATTTATATCCATGTATCACAACTTGTGTGGATTCAATTTGTAAAGACACAGTTGCTGATACACTCAACATCCATTTAAAGGTTGTTTCCAGTTTATTACAACTTCTGTCTTGAGTTTGACTATTTATTCTGTCAGTTGTTTCTGTTTCTAGATATCGAAGCCATACTTTAATGTGTCATTTTTCTTTCTAGATTTTTGAAGCCATTGCATTTTTTCCTCTCTAGATTTTGAAGCCATGTTGTTTTTGTTTCTAGATTTTGTCTTGATATAGATATAAGCCCTAATATATTCCTGTCGTTTCTGTTTCTCAATTTTGTTGT